AATTTATGATATTATATATATATATATATATATATATATATATATATAAAAGTGAACACTAAAGTCAACACTTAGAGGCGCCACCCTGTTTCATGCTAGATGCATTCTAGACGAATGCTGTTTTTTTTCTCGGCTATTTATCGGGTCAGTGGTGCATTGTGGGTAGTCTATTTTGGCAGTTATTTTGCCGGAAGTCGTTTATTTGTTTATTTATTTGGGTTAAATTATTTTGTTTGTCATTATTTATTTTTATTTTTTTTATTTCTTATATATTTATGTTTTATTTTTTTTTCAATCGGTGTTTTATTAACGTAGTAAAAATTCGTTTATATCGCTTATTTAATAGTTTTGTTTTGGTTTGGGAGGATAAACCTATTTATTCAATTTTATGGTTGATTGTTGTAGTTTATTCTAACTATTATTTTGGCGGGAGCAGTTTTTAATCTGTTTATTACTTCATGTATTTTACTTTTTTGCTGTACGATGGGTTGAACCATATGATATTTCTTTTCCTGTTGGCCTTTTTTTGTGTTCTTTGGTGAGTATGTGAGTGTTGCTGGGAATCTGTTAGGGTTGTTTCGTAGTCTTTCTTAGCTTTGTTAAATATGGATTCATTGGAGGAATTGTCAGAAAGCCTGCGGTTAATCGATTTTGGTATCTGTTTAATTATAGAAGGCGGGTGATCGGAAGATGTGTGTATATAGAGTGGTTTATCATTGGGTTTTCTATATGGTTTATGTGTGCCTTTTCTTAGGTTGAAATTAACATCTAGAAAATCTACTTCGTTTAGGTTAGTTTTTATATCTATCTTGAATCCGTTATTTTTGAAAATCTTTATTATTGCTTTTCTAGTTTTGTCTGTGTTTTGTTTATTACAGTTTCTTAAGTTTATGAGACCGTCGTCCCTGTAGAGTCCTGTGTCATTTCTATCTGTTATTTTGCTTAGTTCGTGTAGTAAGTATATACTTATGATTTCGCAGGTCTAAGCAACGTCTAAGCTTCCCATTGTAATGTCAAAGATCCCATCTTTCTTTATCCATGTTTCTTCATTGTGAAATAGTAATGAGTTACGGGAGTGTTTAATGATGTCGATTTCGTTTGGTTTTATTATTATTTGTTCTTGAGTTGATGACCTTATCTAGCATGGGTTCTGTTATGGATGGGTAAAATTCTTTTATGTCTAATTGTAGGAATTGGCAATTTTGTTTGTTGTTTATGCTGTGGAACCAGTTAATAGTCGATTTTGTGTTTTTCCATTGGTTTACTCCTAACTTCTTCCTAAGTTCAGAATTAATTCTTTCTAGTATCGTTTTACTTATTTTACCTAGTTCGCTTTTGGCTGGTTTTATGAGTCTGCATGCAGCGTTGGTTTTGAAATTTTCTTTGTGGTCTTTTAGTGTGATAAAGGCTTGCACCTTGCTGATGCAACTTATTCGATCATCTAGGTTTAATTATTGGGCGATTGCTTTAGCTTCCTTATTGATATCATGTTCTATTGTTTTTGGTGCCTTTTTGTATGTTTTGGTTATGTTGTTCTTGAGTAATTTATTATGTGTAGGACAGCTTAGTTTGTATAAATTTCTTGTTTTGTCAGCTGTGATAAATACATTTGCTTTATTGTTTATTTTAGTTATATCTTCTTTTAGTTTTTTTTTTTAAATGCATCTTGTTTTTATTGAATTTTATGTTTCTAACTAGGTCAGTTAAGTCTTTCTCGATCTTTTTAGTATTTTTTGAGACCTGTGGTTGTTGTTGGTCTCCCTTAATATTGCGACTTGTGCAAACTGAGGGTTGGATGAGTCCTACTAACATCAGTTATGTAGGTTTATTTTGCTTTATTTTCATATTTAGTTTGTTTCGGGGTTCATCCCTTCCACCCTCATTGTAAATAATCCGTAAATTTTTGTATATAAATTTTGTAATCATCAGATTTGTATGTCATGCGGTGCGTTTTGTACCCCACACCCCTGAGAGGATGCGGTATTATGATGTATGTAGGATCGATTGGTGACGGATGTGTCTTTATGGTGAATGCGAAAATTGTAACGAGTGAATGGGTCGTGAATCGGATTAGCTAGGTATAGGGTAGTCAGTGAAGACCAGCCTCAAACCATTCCCCTTTTCGGCCTTGTGCCATAATTGTATTTTTATATAATAAATATCGAGAGGAGAAGAAGAAATGCAGGCTTGGACGGCTGCGTATTACATTTCCATTTTTTTTGTCTGATAACTGGATGCTTTTATTTCTATTTTTACTTCTGCTTTCTTGAGCATTTCTACTACTGACTTCCTGTACCTACTTGCTGCCTGCATGTCATCCAGACTTAAATTACCTTCCCATATACTCTGGTTATAATACTACAGGTGGTTACGACATCGGACTTGACAAGCAGATATGCAATGCCAGCACTGGATCTGACCAACAGCGTCACAATGCCAGCACTACATTGCAACACCAGCTTCCCGACACTGATACCTTCCTATTCGACTAGTTCAGTCCAACCGTTGACACGACCAAAACAGCTGCACCTCAACTTCCTACCATCGAAGTACCCTGTCTTCTTGCTTTTTTCATTTCTATCTCTGACGAAGATTTAATAAAAGCGAAACATGTTAGATAGAAATATGTTTCCTAATTGTTCTTTATTTTATCATCTTGTCAGATTCCTATCCATATCTGATCTACATTTGATCTTCAACTCATATGTATATTTATATATATATATTTATATATATATCCCTAAAAACAGCAAATTATCAGCAAAGTTACAATCAAAATTTTTTGCAGTTGCATGGATAACATGAAGAAAATAATGACTAAGCACAATAAAAATACTCATCAAAACCAATAACAATTACAGCTACAATAACATACAGTAAAATAACACCATTCAATGTAAATGCAGAAACAAAGAATATTGCCCATATAACAATAAATGCTTAACCAATAGCATAATATACAAAGCCATCTTAAATAATAAAAAATTTATATAGGAGCCACCGAAATAACATTTAAAGAAAGATATAATAACTATAAAATGTCATTTGAAAGAAAAAAAAATGCACAAACAATACAATCCTATCACCTATGGAGCCAAAAAGAAAATAATAACTTCACCAAAATCAAATGGGAAATTATAAAAAGAGAAGTCGTCTACAGTATTAACAACAAAAATTGTAAATTATGCTTAGAGGAAAAATTAGCAATAATTAATTTTAAAAACCTAAATAAACTCTTGAACAAAAAGCTGAAATAATGGGTAAATGTAGGCGAATAAATATTTATTTGCCATCTAAGCTCTAATTAAAAATGAACAAATAAATATAAGCTTTAAAAAATATAATATAGTCTTTAGATAAATGAATAAAAGAAACAGATATAATATGAATTTAATTTATTAATAAACAAATAAACGAACAAATATTAATGTACTCACCTATTTTTTAAAGCGAATTTTCAATTCTGAAAAGTCTTAATCCTTTAATGCTATCAAATCTGGCAGTCAAAAAATGACCTAAATAATGGGACATTCAGATGACTCTTTTGCGTTTTTAGGGAGACCTTAACATTTGGGTATTCTAGGGTGGTATTCTATTAGTTTATAACATGATTTATTTTAATTTTGAATTAGTTTGCTTTTATCATTGTACATGTTCCTATTCAATAATAACAATCCCACCTCCATAAAGTTCTCAGTGTCTCGTGTATGTGCTTTACCATTACATTTTAGTCCAGGAGTTAGAGTAAGTAAGTATAAGTATCATATTAATGGTCGAGCTCAAGTCAGTCTTGTACAGAGTTGGAAAAACCAAAGAAAAGTTTGCACTTACTTTATCATTGCAAGGTTTAAACTTAGTTATGGTATGTCCGCTTTATTTTCTTGGTTCAGAAGTTAGAGGATGGGAAACGTAATTACCATGGGTTCTACCTCTTGGACCAAAATGAAAATGAGGTTAAGGAAGGAAAAAGTTTTTCTTTTTATATATTTAACCAGCTTCGCCTAACGGTGTTTGACGAAACCAAATAGGGTAATTATATTTCTGGTTCCTTTATTGTTATTACCATGGGAAAATGTATTTTTTTCTATTTTATTATTCATTATTATTATTTTATTTATTAATTTTATTTCATTTTCCCACAATACATCCTCGCCCAGAAGCGGAGCTCTACAAATGCATTTTTACGTTGATTCACATTGTCATTAGCGACTTGTTTCATGTCAATGTAGAATGAGTGACGAGCAAGTCAAGTCTTGCAGCTACAACATTTAAAATATTTTTAAGTGGCCTCAACATTTTCCACTGACATGAAGTTGATTAACTATATTGAGTCAACTGCTACGAAAACGTGGAAGGTTGGTTCAATCTGTTGTGCCAAAAGAATTTTCTCATCAGAATCCACCCTGCACTGTTATAAATCTAACATTCATCCATGTATTGAATACTGTTGCCATATCTGATCTGGTTTTCCTACTATGCCTCTCAAGATTCTTGACAAAATCCAAAGAAGGGTCTGTAATACAATCGACTCTGACTGGGTATCTAATCTACAGTCATTTTCTACCGACATCACTTGGCTTCCCTCTGTCTGTTCTACAAATATTTCCATGCCAACTGCTCAGATGAGCTTTTTTTCTCTGGTGACCCAACTTATTAGAAAATGGTTAATATCACCATTACCACAGTAAAGAAAATCAAGCAATCTGTGGAGAGCCTACTTTCCTGGAGGGACACAGCATTTAAAAAAATATTTATAACAATATAATGTTACCTCTTAGCCGTAACTGTACCAATGCATTTATTGTATAAAACCTACTAAAGTTTTTTGTTGCATTGTATGTCATCTCTGGATTCAGGTGGCCTATAAGCAATTCTACAAGAGGGATCCCAATGCTGCATCAACAGCCTGAATTAATGACAGACATTTTTTCTCACTTTATTTCAGGGAGGATGTAACAGGAATCGTTTCTTGGAGAGAGAGAGGGTGAGAGAGCATGGACAGATGTCAATAGGTCTGCCAGAGAAAGAGAATGGACGGATGTCGATAGGTCTGCCAGAGAGAGAGAATGGACGGATGTCGATAGGTCTGCCAGAGAGAGAGAGAGAGAGAGAATGGACGGATGTCGATAGGTCTGCCAGAGAGAGAGAGAGAGAGAGAGAATGAACGGATGTCGATAGGTCTGCCAGAGAGAGAGAGAGAGAGAATGGACGGATGTCGATAGGTCTGCCAGAGAGAGAGAGAGAGAGAATGGACGGATGTCGATAGGTCTGCCAGAGAGAGAGAGAGGACGAGAATGTCGATAGGTCTGCCAGAGAGAGAGAGAGAATGGACGGATGTCGATAGGTCTGCCAGAGAGAGAGAGAGAGAGAGAGAGAGAATGGACGGATGTCGATAGGTCTGCCAGAGAGAGAGAGAGAGAGAATGGACGGATGTCGATAGGTCTGCCAGAGAGAGAGAGAGAGAGAGAGAGAGAGAGAGAATGGACGGATGTCGACAGGTCTGCCAGCTACGATCCATTTCATATGTGCATGAGCATCAGAGTTTTTAACATCTTTAATGTCGCAACTGTACTGCACTCTTTTTGTACGTTTCTCAGTTTTATATAAAAATATAGACAAAGACAATTTATTACTGTCACAATTTCAAACCACCTCCACTCAATCCGAATTGTTTTGGACCAAAGTTCAGACCAGTAAGGCAATATCTCGTAAATACAAAGGTGAGCTGAAAAGTTCAGAGGCTTACTATGAAAGAGTAAGTGAAATCTTGCATGCATTAATTTCAACTCTTAATAATAACTATTATTTCTTTCCAGGAAAACTGACATCTGACTGTTCAAAGAAAACTTCAAAAGTAACTAGTAGCGACTTCTCTTGAAAATGAACAAAATTTGGCTATGTGGTGTTAAGTACTTGCAAAAAAAGTTTAGCCATCAAGGACATTCAGTGTGGCAATGCCTTGTGACCCACTCTTCCTATGAGCAAATGTTTCACACAAAGCAAATGGACAAGTGAGTCTATGTTCAATAATTAGTGTAAAGAAGGTCAGTTGACTTTCTACATAACAAAGTAATAGTCTAAAGCTAACCCATAAAAAATTAATTTATATATATAAAGTTTTTAGACATTTTTTAAAACATTGTCACAGTCATTCATCACTAATTAGACCTCCATTATAAACGAAAAATGGAAATAACAAATTTAAAAATCTCTTAAAAACCCAATATTTAAAATGATTTTGTAAAAGTAATGCTTTTTTTGCTTAAAACATAACCAAAATATTGTTTATTTACTCACTATAGCCATTGACTGTTATGAAGGTCATGTAAATGCTGCTTGGGCTTATGCGTTGAGGTTATCAAATGTAATTGTGTGTTCTAAGAGCATTTATCTATTATACATTTAATGATTCAAGAAAAAAACAACGAGACTCCAATTGTGCATCAACAATAAAATATATATTGAAACAATAACATACGAAACAACCATGCAATGGTGTGTAGTAATTAAGGAAAAAAGTTACTTCCCTTCAACTGTATTCTGATTAAGATTGAATGTTCAAAAGAATTTCTCTTGAATAAGAATGTTCAGGATTCTATGTTGAATAGAGTCTGGTGTTAGAATAGAATACAGTTAATTAGGAAGTGTGTTGTTTTGAGAAAGTAATCGAGTTCTGGTTCATGAATTTGGCTTAGTCACAGAGAGGAAGAATATGTGTAATGTGATACAAAAATCTGTGTCTGTGTGTGCCTTTTGAGTAAAGTTGTGGATTTGTGTAGACAGGTGTAAATGGCTGGACTCTACTGATGGTTGCGAGAAAATCGGTAAGAGTTGTTGGCAATGATCTTTAACGTCTGACCGCATGGTTAAGACGGGAGCTCTTGAAGATTACATCTTGGCAGCAAGGAAAAAGATGAATGAAGAGAACACAAGAGAAGCTTATTTGTGTTTTGTTTATGTAAGGCTGTGTCCCATGTGACAGGCTCCAACCTTGTTCACGGGAAAATTATTCCTCACGTGCAGGTGATTTGATTGGTCGGAATTGACCAATCAGCAAGCTAGTTTTGAGGAGATTAGCCAATGAATGCTTACCATATGATCTGTATGTATGTATGTATGTATGTATGTATGTGTGATGGCAATGATGATCGCTACACTCAAAAGTCAACAAAAGTATTCTTCTGTCACTCCAAAAACGCATGTAAAATATGAAGGACCTAAAGGGCTACAATCTCGAAATTGGTATTACTTATGATGATTTTCTAATCATAGCTTAGACATGGCACAAAGCTGAAAGTATGGGGCACCCAGTAAGGATCAGACTCATTACTCAGTTGTAATTGATCTAGCAAGACAAGCATGCTAACCATTACACAATGTCAAGGTACACAAATTGCTATTGCTTATGCTTCAAAATAATTTCATTACAAGTGTAAAATTTAAATTAATTCAAAATTAGTTAAGTTATAATGAAATCGTAATAAACTGAGTATATTTTCTTTAACTGTAATGTTTGTCTCTGGCTATAAATCTTTTATGTTCCTTTTGGCTGGGAAGAATCAAAATATAGCTGAATCACATCTGCCTTTACAAACTTGGAATGATGATTTCTCTTGTTGATGGTATTGTTGCGAAATTTGAGTTAATTGGATATATCAGAAGGTGAGATTGTGTGAAGACTTAAAAATGTGCGTGTTTGTTAAACATTCATCCACAACAAATAAAATAAACAAACATTTGAAGGCAATTCAATTGGAAGAAATCAAAGAGAAACAACGTAGTTATAGATTTCAACAAATAACATGCATTTATATACGTTTGATATACACAAGTGAATTTTATGATTGCTTGTTCAATGTGATAAGTGAGATAAAATTGTAAGGAATGACCATGCAGTGATTTGGTGCATGAAAGCTTGTAGTTTAAGTTTGTCTATGAAATTAAAACAGTTTGCTTTCTGCAAGGTGAAATGTCACTTGTGTGGTTTCAAATATTAGTGTGTATGTGTGCAACAATTGTAAATATTGTTTAAAATCATAAGGAGTTATGTGCCTTTGACTGATATGATGTAAGTTGATTAAATACAATTACTACTTCGGTAGTGAATAATGTCACTTTTTCTAGTAAATTGCAAGTTGGGTCAATTCGTGTGGCAAGACTTTCTGAGTCATGTTGAGCTGCAGAGAGAGTGGTGGTTGTTGAGTCAGTGTGCTGGCATGTGCGGAGTTTGTTGGCATCTCTCAAAGACTTAGTTATTGACTGGTATGCTGAGGTTGATTAAATGTACAATTACTACATCATAGTGGTAATGTCACTTTTTTAGTCTGTTGTAATTTAAGTATCTTCGCGCGACAATAGCTGTGTAAGTTGTGTTGAATTGCTGAGAGAGAGTGGTGGTTACTGAGTCAGTATGTCAGCACACATGATGGTTGTTGAGTCAATGTGTTGGCGTGCATGGAGTTTGTTGGCATCTCTTGCAACTTGGTTACTGACTGCTTGAATCAAGTCAAGCGATTCTATTTACTGACTTTTTGGATTTGAATCCGGCTCCAGATAGGTGAGCGGGACAACAGATTAGTCACAACTTGCTACATTTTTTGGGTCTTTTTAACCAATGAGAAGTCAAGTTTGAAAAAGTGAAGTGATGACTGGTTAAAATTGGTTTGGGAGAAAAGTGCATTTTCCATCAGGGGTGACAGGCAAATATGGAGGATTTCATAGTATGTTCTTTTCAGTCTAAGGGATATAGATACTTTAATTTTTTGCTATCTCTATGAATATGGCTGCGTTGTGGAAAAGAAATGTATATATAAATTCCATAATTTTAAATTCCATCTTTTTTCCCAAGAGACCCCAGAAAACACAAATTTAATTTTCAAACTCTGGAGTCTATACGCATTCATTATCTGCAGGTATATGGAGCAACCCTAAATCAAAACAAACCCAATTTCATTTCTATCGAACTAGCAGTATGAAGCGTTTTTTCTTTCTTCCTCATTTCTATTCTTTCTTCGCCCTATGAAAATTGACAGAAATCAGACGTTATTAATTTTTATTTCGAAATCGTCTGCAGATTATTTTTTAATAAATTTTTCTAAAGATAACAAATTATTTTATAGCTAAATATTTTTAAATAAATGTATTTATTTAAGATTTTAAATATTAATTTTACTTTGAATCCACAAGCCTCCATGGTTATAGCTTCCTGGCTAATAAAGAATAACAATGTAGTTTTGTGGAATTGGAACAAATGCCTGCTTCATTGTACATAAATCGTAGTCAAATGTAGACTTATAACTTATTGTTTCCTGACTTTGAAAAAATCACCTGCCAACCTGAGCATCACAGACAGCAAAGTAAATACATATAATGTGTAGATTTGTGAACTGAACAATCGCCAGACTCACTGTATGTCTCAAGCAGTCAAAGAAAAATTTATAACTTGTAATTTTGTGCCACTGGCACAAACTATCAACTCCCATGCAAAGCCAGCAGTCAAATTAAAGACAGGTAACGTGTATCTTCTTGACATTAAAGCAATCACATCCACCTCAAGCATAATCGGCAGTTAACTATATAACACATAAAATTGTAGGCTTGTGCCATTGTAACAATCATCTTCCCACACTCCTGTATATTTACATCAGTCAAATGAAAACATATAAAGTGTACTTTGGTACCATTGGAAGAATTGCCTGTAATCTCATGGATCACTGACAGAAAAATGATGACAGGTAACTGATAGATTCATGCCTTTGTCACAATCGCCTGCCTCTCCAGACATCACCACTGGTAAAATGATTTTATATAAAGTGTAGGTACGTGGCATTGGAACAATCATCTACTTCACAGTGCATCGCTGTCAGTCAAATGAAAATATTTAACTTGTAGTTTCATTATATTGCAACAAATGCCTGCCTTGGCATGCATAGCTAGTAGTCAAAATTAAGATTTATAACTTGCAGATATGCTCCACTGGGAAAATGGCTTGCCTTTTCGTGCATAACTGGCAGTCAAATGAAGACTTATCACATGCAATTTCTTAGCATTGGAACAAATATAGTCATTTACAAAATGAAGACATATAACATGAAGTTTCATGTCATTTGAACCATCATCAGAAACCAGGCAACAGTCAAAAGAAGATAGTGTAGTTTTTGCTTCCTGGCTCTCCATGCTTTTCAGATTGTAAGAAGAAGACATGACAAATGGTTGGTACTATGGCTGTGTCCTCTGTGAGTTGCTTGTAATTAAAGAAAGACATATAAGATATAATTTTGTGCTAATTTTGAAACAATCACTTAGCACAATGTGAATTGGTGGATCAAATGAAGACGTATAACTAGTAGTTTTTCAATATTGTAACAATATCTTGTGTTTAGCACATGCATCACTGACAGAAAACTGAAAGTGTGTAACAAGTAGTTTGTCGATATTGGTCCAATCTTTTCCTTCACTGTGCATCACTGGCATAAATATGAAGACATATAACAAGTAATTTCTTGACACTGATACAATATCTT